TTTCTATCAGCTCATGTGTCCTGGGAATTGAATGAGCTGTCTTGGGAGTGGTGAGTTTCCTCTCCCCGGAAGGCACTTTTTATTTGCCACTTCTTAGGAAAGGAAATGTTGCATGGGCGGTGGGCACTGAGTGGGTGGGATATGCCCCCGCCTGACTTCTCAGGAAAAGGAACTTAATCTTTAAGTGTTGGAAACACTTAAAATGCAGATGAGATCTGTCAAAGCTCATGAAATCAGCTTCGTCAGTTATGAAGCCTAGGTTCTATCCTGTTAAAAAAAATTTTTTTAAATTACATTTTGCCAAGGTTCAAAAACAGGGCAAACTCATGAGTCGTTCAGCTGCTCCATAACATGGAGAGGGCTGTCAAATATTTTGTGCTCCCTGCCCAGGAAGGCCACCTCCCCACAACATTTTATGCAGCCAGAGGCATGTTCAGATATGTTGCAAGAGCAATGACTAGCATGAGAGAAGTGGATGAGCTCCAGGATGCCCTCAGGGTCTGACATTCCGTGCTCTCGAATCGACTTGCTCATGAATCCTCTGAGCTTCTCCAATGCAGCTTTTGCACTTCCTGCTCTCCCTACCTAGAATACTTAGCCCTTGCTTCTTTATCCTCCAAGTCTCACCTTAAATGCCACCTTCTCCAGAAGGCCTCCCCTGACCACTTACCCAAGGTCACCCTGTTTTTTCCCTTCATAGCACCAACCATCATCTTTAACTCTCTTTAACTTACTTGTTTATGGCTCATGTGCCTCATGCCTTCCCCCAGAATATAAGCATCTGAGGACAGAAAACATGTTTGTCTTCATCTTGTTCTTTGTTATATTATCAGCCTATCAGCAGGTAGTAGAGAACCTAATATATATCTTTTTTGTTTGTTTTTTTTGAGATGGAGTCTCCCTCTGTCACCCAAGCTGGCATGCAATGGTGCGATCTCGGCTCACTGAAACCTCCGCCTCCTGGGTTCAAATGATTCTCCTGCCTCAGCCTCGTCAGTAGCTGAGATTACAGATGTGGGCCACCATGCTGGACTAATTTTTGTATTTTTGATAGAGTCAAGGTTTCACCATGTTGGCCAAGCTGGTCTCGAACTCCTGACCTCAGGTGATCCGCCCACTTCGTCCTCCCAAAATGCTGGGATTACGGGTGTGAGCCACTGCACCCAGGCCCTAATGCATATCTGGTGGCCGATAATTATCTGTGGAATAAAAGAATGATGGGATGGATGAAACAATTAAATCTGGACATAAAAGCAGCCCCCTGTGGGTTTCAGCCAGGCTGTAAATTAGCAGCTTCCCTTAAAGATACACATAGCTAGTTCTGTCTTGGTGTCAGCCCAGAATGCACGTGTAGTTTGTACATGTTACAGCTATTGGTTAATAACAGGCTCGAGTTCAACCTTCACCATAACCTTGGCTAAGGAGGCAATCGGCACACCAACTCCATAGCAAATACATGTTTTATCTTTGAAAAATGTAATCCATTCAACTGTTCACCCTTAGGAAATCTACCATGAACTAACCTCCTTTTCTGCCTTTGTTTCTGTTGTTTTTCCTCCACCTAACATGCTCTCCACTCTCCTTTTCTGTAGAAGGTAGGAAAGTTCCTCTTTAAAGTTTTCTTTCTTGTTAAAGAATAAATCATAAGTGTTAGAAATAGTAGTTTGGTTATTTTTTTTTTTTGAGATGGAGTTTCGCTCTTGTTACCCAGGCTGGAGTGCAATGGTGCGATCTCGGCTCACTGCAGCCTCCTCCTCCTGGGTTCAAGCAATTCTCCTGCCTCAGCCTCCCCAGTAGCTGTGACTACAGGTGCATGCCACCATGCCCAGCTAATTTTTGTATGTTTAGTAGAGACGGGGTTTCACCACATTGACCAGGATGGTCTCGATCTCTTGACCTCATGATCCACCTGCCTCCGCCTCCCAAAGTGCTGGGATTATAGGCATGAGCCACCGTGCCCAGCCTAGTTTGTTTGAAACACTTTCTTCAAAGCCTTCTCGCTTTTTGCTAATAATGCTTTGTTAAGCCCTATCCTACGTAGCTGTTAGACACGCTCACAGGCACAAAGGAGAGTCTATATCCTTGTACTTTCACCAAGATATTTATGCCATTGCTTTTCTAAGTCCTTTCACAAGCAACTTTCTGTCCCCTCCTGATTTGGACTCCCTCTTTTCCTTTTGTTCTCCATTGCCTTTACCTAGTCAAGGAAGTTTTAAGTTATTAGCCAATCAGGTTCAGTTTTAGGTTGTGCAGTCTAACTCCAACCAATGGAGATCAGTCACAGCAGTGAAGACGACCCCAAATGCGTAAATGATAAACATGCCTACTTTTTCCTTGTTCGTTGTACTCTGGTGGCAAGATAGCTAACAGGAGCATCCTTTCTGCAGAAAGTAAAATTGTCTTGCCGAGAGATTCTTTGTCTCAGTGCTGATTTTTCTCTGTGGCACCAAGCATCTGTTTCCGACATTTTCTAACTGTTTTCCTACATGGTAATGTCCCTTCTTTTTTGGAGGAGAGAGAAACCTGAGGAAAGGCTGTCCCTCTGCCTGGCAAGATCACAGATGGCACCCAAGGTTCTAGGCCCATGAGCCTGAAACACCTACAATTCAAGACCACTCCACTTGTCTCAATCCCAATCCAACCAAGCAAATGTTTCTTGAGCAATTCTGTAGGCAGAGGTGTTTCTGTAGGCCCATCACACCTAGAATAACATTGGAACTCTTTCCCTGGGCCTAAGAGAAGGTACCCCTCTTTTGAGACACCTTCCCTGATACCTCCCCAGAAGAGTTCACGGCTTCCTCCGTTTTTCCTGGGTCAATCTTTCTAACCTCTGTAACAGCACAGAACACATCCACCCAAGTCAGAGGCACCTGTCTACCCTCACAGGACATGGCCCTGCATGACTGGCCCCCCACCTACTCCAGTCTTGCCTTATATCACCCCAAAGCATTCCTGGGAAGAAGCCAGATGTGAAGGCTGTCAGTTCCTTAAACCTACTAATTTCAATCTCTCTCTCTCTCTCTCTCTCTCCCTCCCACTCTTCCCTTTTCATCTGTTATTTCCTCCCTTCCTTCTCTTACTCAACTCCTACTCATCTTTGTAAACTTAATGTACTTATTTAGCGAGCACCTATTATGTGACAGGTGCTGCTCTAAATACTGAGGATACAGCAAAGAGCAAAACAGCTGAGAACCTTGCCCTCATGGCAGAGCTTGCATTCTGGAGGGAAAAGACAGAAACAGACAAGCAAATAAGTAAAATGTATAGTTTGTCAAGTGGTGATGGATGCAATGGAGAGAAACAAAGCAGGGAGCAGGGTGGGAGTGCTGGGTGTGTGCGTTTGGGGGTGGGAACAGGGACTGTTGATGGTGGGAGTGGCCGCTTTATTTATTTATTTATTTGTTTATTGAGACAGAGTTGTGCTCTGTTGTCCAGGCTGGAGTACAGTGGCGCGATCTCAGCTCACTGCAACCTCTACCTCCCAGATTCAAGAGATTCTCCTACCTCAGCCTCCTGAGTAGGTGGGACCACAGCCGTGCACCATCATACCCAGCTAATTTTTGTATTTTTAGTAGAGACGGGGTTTCATCATGTTGACCAGGCTAGTCTCGAACTCCTGGCCTCAAGTGGTCCGTTCGCCTTGGCCTCCCAAAGTGCTGAGATTACAGGCGTGAGCCACCGCGCCGGGCTGGAGTGGCCACTTTTAACAGGGTGGCTGAGAAAGGTCTTGCTGGGGAGGGGACACTTGAGTAAAGCCATGAAGGTGGTAAAGGAGCAAGCTATGGGGACATCCTAGAGGAGGAAAGCTCCAGGGAGAGGGAAGAGCAAGCACAAAGGCCCCAGGGTAGGAGTGCAGCTGGGAGCTGGGAAACAGGGAAGCTGGGTCTGCCTTTGCCAAAACGTCTTGTGAATCCGTCGCCCTACCCCGAACTGGATCAATCCACTGCCCTGAGCTCTCCCAGCACCCTGAGCCTCCTCTCTTCACAGCACCAATCATATTGTGTTGCCATGTCTCTCCCACCAGGCTGTGAGCAACCTGCGGACAGGGACAGTGTCTTTTATTAATACTTTGACATCTCCAGTGCTCGGCATAAGGCATGATACGTATTCATTGATGAAATCAATTAACGAATGAACAAGCTAGACTGTGAATCCTTGATGGTGTCTCATTTACCTCTCTGGCAGCACCTAGCACTCTGCATGGCACAGATTGGGTCCTAGGAAAAAATGTTTACTGAATGATTAACAGAAATAGCTGATGCCTTATTGAGCGCAGATACCATGCTAAGTTCTTTATGGGGCTTCTCTCATTTTATCCCTAAGGCGATCCTATGAGGCGGATACTACTATCATATGCACTTTGCAGATTGGGACACTGAGGCTTGAAGAAAAAGAAATGGCTCATACGCGCGGTCAAGCAGGTCAAAGCTCGGAGTTGTCCTGATCCGTTTGACTCCCAAGTCCAAATATACTTAGCCCAAAGCTAAACTGCCTTCCAGAGAGGGGAGCTAGAAAGAGAGAGAGAGACGGAGGAAGGCAGGAGGAAGATCTCCCTTTAAGGGCACCTTACTCATCTCTGGGTCTCTTTCTGTGTGTACTGAAGTGTCTGGCACGCAGTGGACGCTCTCAATAGTTAAGGGATGTTAAAACGATGTTGGTGATCTCTTTCCCTAAAGGGGAATATTTGCCTGTGGTTTAGGTTAAAAAGAAATCCAAACCAAAAAATCCTCAGATTAACGTAAACACAAGTCCTAATTCCGCCTTCTCATAACTCTTCCTAGCTTTGCTCATAATTTTAGGTATGATCTTCCAGTAACCTCCCTTGAGGTGTGGCCTGGCCTCCTTAACAGCCAGCTTTCCAGGCCTGACAATGACAGGTAGAGAGCTGTGCCTGCTCACCTCCCTCTTGGACTCTCCACACCCCCCATTCTCCAGTCTCTCCCTCCCAGCTGGCCTCCCTCCACAACCCCCAATTTGTGCAGCCCCCATCAGTAACTAACCTCTTTGGCTTGGCCTCAAATCCTGCTCCAGAGGTCTGCCGCCATGAGCAACCTCCTTGGGCGGACCCTGAAGCCCCAGGTCTCACTGGCTCCCCATCTCCAGTCAGAACATGGGGGTCCACAGACCATGGATCCAGGGGAGTCAATTCTTGGCCTCCAGAATCTTAAGCTGAGAATAGGGGTGAGCGATGATGAGGACAATCCTGGAGGTGGCGAGGGAAAACTTCTGCCTGGAGCCAGCCGGGTGGAACCCTGCTCAGCCCCTGACTGCCTTTGCAGAGGCAGGAAGTCCTGCACAGTCGGGCCCTGTGGCTGGCTGGCCTGCCAAGGGACTGGGCAGTCACCCAGAGAATTCCAATACGGGTGGATTTGAGTCCTGAATTATCCAGGTCACGGCTTTAGCCACTTCACAAGCGTTTGCTAATCCCCTCAGCCCCAAGTAACCCCTACCTCAGTCCTGGGCTGAGAACTTTCTTAAGGCTCTGACAGCCTGCTAAATATCTTAACTATCCAAGTCCCTGGGGGCTTGTCAGACTTGGCTGGGACAAGAACATGAACACAATATTGTATCTTGCATACAGTAAAACTATTTAATGTAGACATTTCCCCTGTTGCCCCAATTATGGTTTTTATATCCAATTCATTGGCTGTTTCCAATCCAGAATCCAAACAAACATCAGGCTTTGTGTTTAGCTGTTGTGGCTCTTTGGTGTCCTTTAATCTAGAAAGTTCTTTCATCTGGTTTCTTTCTTTTCTTTCCTTTTTTTTTTTTTTTTTTTTTTGAGAAAATAAAGAGAGAGCCCAAGAGGAAGCCCAGGGGGAGGTGAGCAGGCACACTCCTCTGTTGACGGAGTCTCTCTAGGGCTGCTGGGGTCCTTCATCTGTCATTGTCAGGCCTGGAGAGCTGGCTGTTAAGGAGGCAGGCCATACCTCAAGGGAAGATGGAGGTTACCAGAAGATCATACCTAAAAAAAAATTATTTTTTATTTTTTTTTCTATTTAATTTTTGAGATGAGGTCTCACTCTGCCACCCAGGCTGGAGTGCAGTGGTGCAGTCTCAGCTCACTGCAGCCTTGACTTCCTAGGCTTGAGTGATCCTCCCACCTCAGCCTCCTGAGTTGCTGAGATCACAGGCACATGCCACCACACCTGGATAATTTTTTGTATTTTTTGTAGAAATGGGGTTTCACCATGTTGCCCAGTCTGGTCTCAAACTCCTGAGTTCAAATGTCTTCCAAAGTGCTAGGATTACAGGTGTGAGCCACCATGCCCAGATTTAATCTGGTTTCTATTTTAAAATGACATTGATATTCTTGATTACAAGCTGTCTTGCAGAGTACCCACCAATCTGAATTTGCCTATTGCTTCCTTATGATTATCAGTTAGTCATTTTTTGTAAGAATACTACATAGGGCCAGGCGCAGTGGCTCACACCTGTACTCCCAGCACTTTGGGAGGCCGAGGTGGTCAGATCAGCTGAGGTCAGGAGTTTGAGACCAGTCTGACCAACATGGAGAAACCCCGTCTCTACTAAAAACACAAAAAAGTTATCCAGGTGTGGTGACCCATGCCTGTAATCCCAGCTACTCAAGAGGCTGAGACAGGAGAATCACTTGAACCCAAGAGGTGGAGGTTACGGAGTGCCAATATCACACCATTGCCCTCCAGCCTGGGCAACAAGAGCGAAACTCTGTCTCAAAAGAAAAAAAAAACACTACACTGGTCAGATGAGGGACATGCACATTTTCAACTTTATCACCATTCCCAAAATACTCTCTTCAGTGGATGTATCAGTTACACTCCTAGCAGCACCATAGCTAGCACTTGATAATATCACATGTGTCATTTCTTCCCAATCCGATGAGTATAAAATTGTGTACCAGTTTTAACTTGCTTCCCCTGGCTGCTAGTGCAACTGAGCATTTTCGCATATGCTTCATGGCCATTTGGATTTCCTCTTCAACGAATGGTCTGTTGGTAGCTGTGCGAATTCTGGACCTCTTCGTCCTAATTTCCATCCGAGTCCTTCCTGGCTCTGCTCTGTTGGAGGAGGAGGTCAGGGAGCGTGTTCCCTCGGGCTTCTGTATCAGTGGCTTCCAGGGGGCAGGAAACTGGAAGTCAAGACAATAAGTGTTTGCTATATATGTTGCAAATATATTCTGTAATCATGCCAGTTGTCTTTCATTTATGG